TGCGATGGACTAGCATCCCATCCAGGGGGGAGTAGAAATACTCGTAGTCGCTTCATGCTACAGAAACCGGAGATAAGCGCCGGCCTGATGGGCCACTTGGCTTGTATGCAGACTTTACTGTTACCTACAGCTGTGCACTAGTATTTGGAAACAGTTCATTTAATTTGATACTTAAATAACAGTAGTGCGTTCTTTAGTATACGATCTCCTCACCCAAACTTAACCTAAAAACAATCACTGATCGTTAAACATCTTTATTATCTTGGTAATATACAGCCTTATAAAGGCAAGAAAGATGCAGTTTTACAAAAGTCAGTACGGATTTCTCAAAATTTTCGAATGAGATGCTGACCAATAATGACTTTTCAGCGAAAATAATGCTGATATGGCGAAAAATAAAAGATATTTTTAAACACTGAAGTGACCGCATTGCGAAATCTGCATTGCGTAAAGACCAGGGAGCGAACACAGCCACGCATGCACAACTGACGCAACGTCCGCTGTACGGTGCCGTCAACCACAGTTACGAAAGCAACCGAATATTACCGAGTTACATTGTCAGTCTTACTCGCAAAACTTCGCCTCCAGTTGTTTTCAATCAAACTCCATAGAAAGCCTATCATTGGTCAGCGTTTGAATTTTTCGTGGTCCAGCTTATTCTGAAATGCGTTGTTGGGTTGATTTGCGTTTCATTCTTGGTTTCTTACCAAAGAGCGACAACTCTTTCCTGCTTTGAACAAAAACTTGTCCCTTAAATTGTTTGTGAGAGTAAAACAAACACAACATAACATCTTTCTGTATGCTAGTCGTTTTAGTCCCACGCTCAATCAACTAATTCTCCTGACCAAATATCATACATTACTTTTCAAGTTAGTTGCGAGAATTGTTTGTTTCATCAAGGCAATCCCTCCAGTTGATGAATTTCTTAATTCTCATCACCTTCCTGCTTTACAATGCATGGATATTAAGAGAAGAATAAAGATACTGATCACCAGTTTGGGAACTAAAGAGCTTGTTAACTGTGAAAAATTCATTTTCAATTTCAATTCATTTTTTGATTTAGAACGCCAATTTACTGATTCTTCTTTTCACCTTGTGTATAAAACTGTTTAAAATTATACGGGTTTTTTTTTTTATCGATCTAGGCTTCATATTTCACATTCTATTCGGTTATGTTACAACTCTTCAGCCCTAACATATTACCCCAAAAAATATATCTACTGCTATTTAAATTTCATTTAACTTGTCAACGGATTTAAACGAAGATTATATTATCTGTAAAGAACAACTTTTTACCGTAAATGTATCATTGCGAATATTGTAAAGAAATTAAGTTTTTGTACCATTTATATTATTTTCCTTTAACGCCAGGAAGACTTAAATATTGACACAATTACGTTTAGTAATAAATTAAAATTAAAATAGATTTTTTTTTAATTCGGTTCCTTACTCAATGTACAGATAACAATACATACAAAACTCTGCAAGTGTGCGTGACTGGATTACAAAGCGTGACAGAGTCACGACAGCCGTAATTTTTATACCAGCCCATCAGGGTTTATGATTCAATTAGCGTGACGCCATCACACAGTGTCCTCTGAGTCGAGTTTATGTTTCCGGTAAAACTGGTTTATAATATTCGTTATTCGTCCCAGTCCCTCGACGCACATCCTCATGTCTCGTATGACATCCTTGTGAGGAGCCACGCCCTTGTCAGTGGTCCCGAGGGAAGTTAGGAGGTCTGATCGGTACGGCACTGCCTTAACCGCCAACTAAAATACATTCAAAATACGATTAGCATTGGTTAGAATTAGTAAATTTAGAAATGGTGAGAGAAGTAAGAATTGTGGAAATGTAAAAACCTACACAGTCTAGAGTATTAATTAAGAACAAACGAACGAACGATCACACGATAGCACGAACACACGAACGAACGAAAGAACAGACGAACGTGCGAACGAACAAACGAAAGCCCGAATGAACGAACCGACGAACGAACGAACAAACGAACGAACGAACGAACGAACGAACGAACGAACGAACGAACGAACGAACGGACGGACGAACGGACGAACGAACGAAACGCACGCACGAACGAATGGGCGAATGAACGAGCAAATGAACAGACGAAAACTAAAGGAAATCAAACGCTTACCGCAAAAACTCCTCTGACGACCCAACCATGATATCTTCGAAGCGTCTTACCGTATGCTGTGCCTATAATATGAGTTGAAAATAAACACGGAATCAAACACCAATGCAGTGAACACAAAGACAAAAATGGGAAAATTTTTCAAAATCGGGGTATTTTTCCACCCGCTTTATCTCCGAAACGAAGACGGTGACACCCTTTATTTCTTGCATTTCTGACACAAGTAACTCATTATTTAACCACAGTAAAAGTTTGAAGAAAATATATATTTATAACCATGCAATAGAAAATACAAACAAGAAGAATACAGGAAAGCCGTTGTACATTCGACGGTATTACATCCAACCTTCCCACCATGCGCCGCGCGTATGTCGTATCGTGTTGGCCACTGCACTATTTTCTATGGTATGGTATAAAATAGTTATGTAACGCTCTCACGTGGTTTACCATGCAAAAGCCCACTTGTCACTTGTGATTTCTTTGTATACACACTCACTTAAAGGCTCGTGTGTATATTGCGAAAATATAAGTGACTCTTGGGATATTCCATGGTATACTACTCGAAAACGTTGCATAACTGGTAGTAATCATAAAAATTACAATTTCTTCGATTGTGATTGGTTTAAAAACTCCTATTTTCCACTAATTCACTTGCTAAGTTGTTATCGGACAGTTTGTTATTGGACAGTTTGTTATCGGACAGTTCAATAAGCCAATCACATTCAAAGTTGTAGTTTAAATCAACCAATCACATTCAAAGTTGTAGTCATGGGCGGGCGGACGCGCGCTTGCTTTTGTGTTTTTGGCGCCTAATTGCCGGTAGAAGGCGCGGTGGCCTTAGAATGTTTACACCTCCTTTGTAGGTATTTAATGCAATTTTTTTCCTTCTTTCATAACTTGGCTATTCTTCTTTTCTCGGAAATTGTAATTTTTATGATTAATTGGTAATAAGACATCGTGTCATCTAATTCGGTCCGTAATCATCCTCTTGATAAACTAAGCGGACTCCCGCTGCGCGGTCGTCCGTTTTGTTATCACTCTTATGATAACCGACCGAATTGGACTCCACTCAGTCCTATTACCATTACATATTAGAAGATTTTCGCGCGAAAGCTTAACTCCCCACCTGCTGCTACGGCGAGGTCTTTTTCTCCTCGAACCACTTCGCTGAGAAACACTTGCATGAACTCTAAAGCTCTGCAATAAATTTAAAAGAGTAACGTTAGTCATCTACAGAAGGCAAGAACACTTACTGAAAGAAAATGCAACCAACCGAGCATCTCACACTGGTCTGACTTAAAAAAGTGCCGCTTAACCCTTGCTTGTGACAAGACATCATTGAAGAAATGAACATTTCCAGTCACAAAACCACATGAACATTGCCGAGCAGTACGAAAGTTGTCACGTCAGCTTGTCTTCAGGTTTCGTCACATTCTTGCAAGATAACACAGGCAAACCAGACAAAAAAAAGAAATGTTCGATTTCTCACCTTTTCAGCCACAGTAACGCATCTGTTGCTGAATTTTTCACTGTGCAAGTGTTGCTTTTGAGTTCTTGGTAAACAATATTTTGTAGCGTGACAAAAGCTTTCGGGTCTGTGGCGTGTTTGGCTTCGAGTTTCTAAAACAAAATACAAGATACTATTTTACAAGCAGCGAGATCACAAAATGATTTGCTCATTTTGTCTATCAATAGTTCCTGATGACTGTCATCAAACCGAGAAAGATTTATCACATTTGACCAATCCGTGCAGATGATATAACCAGCCAATAACAAACAGGCAAATAACACAAGGAACCAATCAGAGATCAAAGTAACAGCATGAAGCCCGTGCAAAGCGCGGGAAAATAAGTACCCGTCTCCAAGCGCAGGAAAATGCTAGCAAATCTAGTCATATTGTCTATGGTCTTGCTCCTGATAGGCTGAAGTAGCAGACCTTTGTTTGCTCTGATTGGGTAGATCACATTGGGGTTTTTAACGAATGAGATCTAGCTCAGTAAAACGTTAACCTAAGCAAACCAACACAGTTAAAGTCACCTGAAACTATTTAAACAGTTAGAAAACAGGCGAACAAAAGTTTCCAACTGCTTACTTTTATATTGCCACTGATATCCAACTTCACGGGAGCAAATGCTGTTGACCCGAGGACGTCTGCGAAAAAAAAAAATGATAATAGCGAAAGATGTGTTAATCTGCCACAATGATCTAGTTACTTTATACAATGAAACGTAACTAGACAGAACCGTCTGCAATCGGAAACTGTGACTCGCTGCCAGCCGCGAAAATACCAATTTTAGGAACCACTTGAATCCGAGCGGCGGGAAATTCTCTAGTTAAGATTGAGAGCCCTTTCTTGTGGTTATTTACATGAAAGCTGTTAGTAGTATGGTCTTGGGGTATTCTTTTCTACGCTATTTATGTTTCAGCCTCCGTCCATCCTACGCTGGAGGAATTCGAAAATGATCAAGGTTTCATTCTGAAAACGCATCAAATGTTTTCCGTCCACACTACGCCGGAGGAATTTCAAAACGCAACAGTCACCGGCCATTTTGGATTTGTGTTTAAGGAAAACTCCGTCAGGGAAATCACATTATTATCGTGACGCCATCCTTTTCGAAAAGCTCCGTTTTCAAAATGTTTTCAAATTCCTCCGGTTTGAAGAGCGTTTTCGAAAAGCTCCATTTTTGTGACGGATTAGTGTGGACGGTAGGCCTAACCGTAGAAATAAAGCTGCGTTTTCAAATTTCTCCCGCGCAGTGTAGACGCTGCCACAGTGTTGTGGAGAAAAAAAAAAGTCATAGAATAACACACGACAACACGTTTAAAAAGCAACTCGTACTTACCCATAAATGGGATTATACACGAACACGATGAAAGAAATGGTTTTGTGGGGACACCATTATCTGTACCAATCTGGATACTTTCAAACCTACAGATAAAGTAAAAGTGTAGTTAAATTATCTTACAAAATGCTCTGAGTAATCAAAGCCGTATTTACACAGCAAAAAACCAATCATTTGCAAGTTTGTAGTTTACATCTAGTCTGTGCACTGTTCGTTACGTTTTGAAAGTTCTAACTTTAACTGGTATGTCTGTGGATGAAACCCTAGTGTGTGACCATTCAAATGAACGCTACTGAGCAGTACTTTCACGTGGTACTGTTTGTTATGCTTTACAAGGTGGTTCTAACGTTTAAGTCTGTTATAGATAAAACCTTAGTGTGTGACCATTCAAATGAAAGCTATTGAGCAGTACTTTCATGTAGTACTGTTTATTTACTGTATTTTTCTGACATTATTACATTTTTTAAAATAAATGTAAGAGTGTAGAGTAATAGGTTGATTTTCTACCACTTTACCTAAATTTTGCAGCAGTGAAGAAGGTCAATGGCTCCTCCTTCATTTCCTCTGAATTGGAAGTTGATGACTGTGAATCGAGGGAATTCCGAGACGATTCAATGTACTTTGCCTTGTGGTGGAGGGCAGAGTTGTTTGTCACCCCGCTAGCTTGCAAATGCCTGCGGTCAATGCTCTCAGCAGAGTTTGTCAAGGAGCGATCCCCAACAATTTGATCAGGAGTCTGGGTTGACAGATGCTTGGCGGCAGGTGATGTTGTTCTCTCAGTTTGGGCCAATTGGTCGCTTACTGTTGATAAGCTTGGTGGTCCTGAAATCAACAGGTACATGTACAGTAAGTGGGTTTTGGTATTTATTCTGCTCCATGTGCAGTCCTTGTGGTTTCCACAAGAACCGAACTTCAAAGCCTTGTCCAATTTAGCAACTTAAAGTTCTCAATATTTGTCAGACGTTGTTAATTAAGTTATTTTACACTTAGCTAATGAGGTCTGGTACTTCCCATATAAAAGTGGGTCATTCTTGATATTTCTCCCATGTACCTGTTCTAAAACCCATGTCCTCAAATAGAGAAAGGAAAAATTATCTCGGACTTAAGTGTCCCACACTGCCAGAAACTCTAAAGGAGTAATTCTAGATGCATGCTGGTCTATGCAAGGTTACCCCCAGCATTAACATTGCTAGTACACTTTTGCACACATGGGTGGAGAAAGGCACTGTAAAGAAGACCCTGGCCAGAGCTCAAACCTGGACTGCTCGATCCTTAGCCTAGCACATCAACCATTAATGAGACTGCAATGTATGTAGCCACTTACCATTGAAGGTAGAACTTAATGTGCTCGCAACACTTGAGGTAGGTGACGGCGGGGGTGATGAAGACCTACAAAAGAAAACAAATTAACAAACAATGCACTGTTATGAACAAACTACCAAGGACAAAATCTGACTGAACATTGAATCCACTGCATACCTGTGGCCTTCATGGAGTAGTTGCTTTCTAAATCCACTGTGCTTTGTCAGTGACAAGGTCTAGGGTCAAAGAAGATGACAGATGTTAGTACAAACCTTAAAATCACTATCAGCAGTAAGGAACTAGTGATGAGTATAAAATCTCTCAGTCATGCTCAGTGAAGGCCTTGAGGCTTAGGACTAAACATGCAGATACTTAACAAATGGCACACAGTTTCAAAAAAAGCGCTTTCTAGTCATCCAGGGCAAATAGATTTTCCTGCCGGACAAGTAAGTTTTAATTCTCACTTGCCTGATGGGCAAGGGCCCAGGCAAGGCGTCTGCCAACTAAGTAAACAAAAAGTAAACAAAGACTTGCCCTGGGAAGCAAAATTGGAGAGCTACTTGTCCGAAGGACAAGATAGATTTCACGTTTTTTTTGAGCCCTGGTACAATTCCTGTTGTTCCTATGTGAATATGAATACTAATTAATGACTAGATTATGAGCTGGAGATTTCCATGAGGTGACAGTGGATTTGGCCTTCAGTCTCGTCAACTATCACCTCTTAGTATAAATCCACTAGCGTTCTATCACGAATGCTGTTCTCTGATTAGCTACACCAAGTCGCTATCTATTCTGTGATAGATAGTGAGTAGTGCAGTACTGTGCCCCTGTTAACAGAATGACGGCCGCTTCTTGGCGTTTTCGAAGTGTCTGTGAAGAGGATTTAGATAAAGTTTTGAACGACTTGTAGATTTATACTAGAAAAATTAGATTATTCACTCTCGATTTCTGTGCGTGATAGTTGACTCAGGTTGTGCCCTCGTCAAATATCACGTGTTAGAAATCTCAAGCTCATAATCTCATTGCTTAATAGAAAGCAAGAGCTAATAATTTAATTGTTTTTTAGTAGAATTCTAACTAGTAAACTTCCTTCAAATAATGATATCCAATCACTTCTCAACGTAGTATCAATTAATCTTAACGATTCAGCAAACTAGCACTGATTGAATTGTTATTTGAAACTTGCATTTGCATACATGTAGTCATTGGTTCATTGAAAAAGTTTGAGGTTTTAAGTTGCATTTAATGGTCAGCTTCCTTTTTTTACAGTTCTTGAGAATTAACTTATCCAGTAATATTTGTAATATTCTTAAAAACATTACAGAAACTAGAAACTGTTGCTATTGAGTGGACAACCTCTGACCACTGCTCTCCAATCAGACTGCTGCATTTGCATCAGTATACAAGTAGAATCTCTACATAACTAATAAATAATTGTATGTATTCTTACCTTACTCATGGTAGGGGACGGTGATGAAGGTGACGAAGAGGAGCTTCCTGCAAAAGTATGTGAAAATCAAGAGTCATGAGTCAGCAACAACAAACATTAATTAATATTTAATGAATATTTTTGCCCATGTATGGACTAAGCACATTTTGAATCTGGGGCCACCTGTGCATTTCACATACGTTCTGAATGAACGTAGGACTGTCTATGTTAAGAATCTTCCTTATGTGTGATTTGTACATTTCCATGAATGTAAGTCTTTACTATTCAAATTAAATATATTTAAACGAACATTCAACAGATGTTTAATACTTATAACAACTCACCAAAGTTACTTTCTGCTAAATCCATACAGTCACACATGTTTTTGAGAAACTCATCACAAGTTGCAGACAGCATTGTAGCTGCTTCACCAAATTCCTTGCAAAGAAAAACAGAAAGCATTACACTGGTTAATAAGAGGTTATTTAGTGGGTGGTCGGTTAATACCACTGGGTATTCTATGAGTTTTCATACCGTAAGGTTTATTGTGTAGTTCCAGAAAATATCCATACCCACCCCTAGGAAGGTTAACAGAAATTCCAAGGGGGAGGGGGGTTTCAAAAGCCTAGTTTTTTAAAGGAAACTATGGCACTAAAATGGAACTTCCAGAGGGGTNGGGGGGGGGGGGGGGGGGGTTCAAGCTAAAAAACCTTGGGAGGGGTATGGATATTTTCTGGAACAACACATTATTAATTAGGCAAAAAATATCTTGAATAAAAAGGCTTTTTACAGTATGTTGAGAGGCACACAGTCAAGGGAACGAGCTCAGAAAAGACAAAATATAATACATTTGCTCTCATTTGCACCTGTTTTTGGTGTATTTAATCAAGTCAATCTACTTGTAAAATGCAACAAGTCATTTTTTATGAACATCACTATTCAATTGATCTGTGCATGCAGCCACCAATTTCCAGTACTGCTTGATTTTATATTATGCTTTTTGATTTTTTTGTTAAAAAATTACCTGATTATCTTCTTTGTTGGTGCAGAGTAACTTAATGGTGCTAATTTGTTGCAGTAACAAACTGCGATACATGTTCAGCTCTTGCATCTTCTCTTTCAACTGATTCATGGCTGTGGGTAGAAAATGATGATGAATCAGTATAAATTTACTTAGAACAATTAACCCATCAGCTTGTCACAAGTTATTCTGGTAGCAACATTGGTTAATGTACCAAACAAATACGAACACATTTAAATTTTCCAACTCCAGCAGTTCATTCTGAAGTACTCAAAAAAGATAACTGCCCCTAAAGTACAAAATTAATGTATCTATAAGGGTCATAAATTTGCCACTCGGAATCCAAGAAATCACTGACAATTAACTTGTTCCAGTTTTTTTTTTTCAAATTTATCTGAGGAACCATGGCCCCAGACCATCTAGAAAGGAACAACAGCAACAACAACAACAAAAACAAACGTGAACATCTACAGAGACATTACTGTTTGTGTACAGATGTATCTGTTCCAAGATGTACAGTAAATGGTTCTCTAAGAAGAAAATCCAACTGTAAACCCTACATGTATATCAACTTACTTTCTCCAGGCATTTCTGAGTGGCCATTATGCTTCATTGTCGTAAGGCATGCCTTTGCTGTTCCCAGTGCTACTAACCACTGTTGCCGTTCAGCAGGTGTAGCTGCCCTAAGGTAAATGTACTGGTCAGGCGGGATCTTAAGGTCAATTCGGACGGTATCTGTAGGATGGACTAGGAAAGAGTGGCCCAAGATTATTAACTGGCTCAAGAAAATACAATGGTATGCAAAGATACATGGATAATGATAACATTGTAATCTCTCATCATGTGTTTGCAATCAAATCAATATCTAATTAAGTAACATCAATTGTCATATTGACCACCCCCGCTGGTAATAACTGGTTATCTTGGCTGCTCTGACTTGCACACCTTTATCACTGATAGTTTCATAACATGTACAACAACCTGTAACTGCAAAAAGCATGTTCAATGTTATTGTCCAAACTTGATTACTAACTTAGTAATTTGACTTAAATGTCAAATAGAAATGAAACTTAAGTATTCAAAAAAAAAAAAAAAAAAAAACATGACTGTTTTTTGTCATGATAACACAAGTTTATCAGGTTAAACTTGGTGTCATGGAGACCATTGCATTGGTTAGCAATGTCATCCATTGGTGAGTGCATTGGTTATTGTCTTTTGATTTTATTGTGTATGCAACAGCAAGAAATTCTAGTTTACCTGAAATTTCACAACAAGTCATTTTGACAGATCCTCTGCTCCCAAGACCAACTTCTTCTTGTGATTTGTAATATGCTAGCACACCAACTTCTAGAACAAACCATCTCGGCTGCCAACCTAATAGCAAAGCAATGATATGTAAAAACCTTTTATTATAAGTAGAGACAAACAAGTTTTATTATGTACAATATTAACTTAATGTGCTGCCTAAATCTTGATTTCCTGGAAAATAAATATAAAATTGCTATTAATGTGAGAAATTACATGTGGTCATTAAAAGATCTAGGAAAACCTGCATTAAGTGAACCCCTTAAGTCTCAAAGTCAAAGTCAATTTATATTCTTGACACAATACATGGTTGAATCACAATTAACATGTCCACACTAGGTGATTTATTCACACCATCAAAGAAAAATAATTATATGGAAAATCAATTAACTGTACCTTTTAAACCTCTAGCCTTTTACTATAACAACATATTTTACTGTGCAAGAATGTAGCAGTAATATGCACTCTTATTATGCCACTGCCGATGATTGTGAAGGAAAATTGTAAATCACACTGAAAATGAGTGCAAAATGTCCTGGATGTCCCTTTGAGATCCAAAATCAAAAAAATAAATATCACTTACTGGTAACCATATATGTCAATTAATTTTAGCTAAGCTCTAAGAATTTGGTGACAAATCAAGAGAATATTGCAGGGGCTTCATTGACATTCTCAGCAGGAAAGCAACTGGTTTTCACAGACAGGGAAATCTTAAAGCACTGAACTTCTTCTTAAGAAAAACATTCCTCCAGATGATCAAACCAGGCAAGCAAAAACAGCCTCACCTTAATGAATCCCCTGATTTGCCTAGTCAATGATTTTTTTTTCTTATCAACTATTTCCCAACAATGTACCAGTTGACAGACGTTGTGATGCAAAATTAGATGCTGGAATTTCTTTTAAGATAACGAACACGGTAATCAGTGGGTTACGTACAACAATTGGTAAAAAAATTGTGGATGAGCAAAATTCAAACAAGGAAAAGACTTATGCATACAACAGGTCTGCAATGTTATCATTTTCAAACAAAATATATATGTAGGAAAATTAAGCCAAAATCCAATGTAAGGTACACACATGTAAAGACGTCATAATCCATTATAGTCTGTACAAATAGTGAGAGAAGTAGATGATTCATTGACAGAGACACTAAAC